TAGATCTCTCTGCAACGAACGACATCTTAGCATGATCATTTTGCATCACATGATTCTTTATCTTATTAAATTATGCTAGGTATGTTTCCATTAGGAGAATCATTGTGCACAAATTAAGGAATCATAGCCTGTGGAGCCCAAATGCTTCCACTTTCCACAAAGGATCCTTAGCTTTTGTTTCATTTTGTTTCGACCCAAAGACTTTGTTCCTAATTCTGCTCCTGTAGTAGAAACCTCTTTTTTCACATCTAATATAATGACCCATGACAGACAAGGAGGAACATGGTTACCATAATGGACCCAGAAATGTGTTTTTTTTTTTTGCGCGGAAGGGGGTTTCAGCAGTATAAATTTTATTAAAATTTGGTCAAATTTGAAATTAATAACTGTATAGAATTAGGGGGTGGGGTCTTGGCCCCCCTCCCTCTGCCACTATGGTTACTTACAACTTTCTTTCCTCCTTTTGACTATGACATCAAGCATTACATGAATCTCTATATCTGCTCTATAACTCAGTCTTTGGGCTAGGGCCGATTGGTCCACCGTTCCTGACTAGGCAGTCGCCGTACGACAGGGGTCGGAAATCGCTGGGGTCGACGAGCTCCGTGGAAAGAAGACTACACATCTGAGAGATGGCTCTCGCCCTCTCTGCTCCCTCTATGGGCACACCGACGGCCCCGCCACCCAAGCCTCCACCAGCCCCAGCCCCCTCTTCAGCCACCACCTCCACCACCACGCCCGCCCCCACCATAGGCCTCACGCCACTAGCCCCCAAACCTTTGCTAGAAGCTTCAATCTGCACCGTCAAGCCCATCGATGCCAGGGACAAGATCGAGTTCCCCTCCCACCCCCGGCGGCGGCCCCAAGATCCTGAGCTCGAAGGTGAGCTGGAATGTGTGGGGACCGAATAGTGCAGCAAGAATGAAGCTACCAAAGGTCCTAATGGTCGCACAACTATCTATTATGTAATAAGCTCATGTAGAACTTCAAAGCTTTGTAGCCTAGGCTGCGGCTGGTAGTGCCCCTCGCGCTTGTAACGGCTGTTTGCTACCTCTCCTTATTATAAATCAAAGTTAAGAAACCGGATCTTTCAAAAAAAAAAAAAACTGAGCCTTTGCTTTAGTTTTAGTAGTTGATATCACACTGCCAAATTTTACATGGCATTATAACTCGCTATTTGACTGTAACAACATTTCTGACTTTCTCTGTGTCAAAGATCAAAAGCACATCAGTATGGCTAGATTGGTCTTCTTTTTGCGTTGCTTGCACCACTAAACAAAGTAACGACGATCCATATACTATACCACACACATCATAATCAATCATTCGGCTAACGATTGATTATGATGTGTGTTTTTGGTATAGAGATCTAAATCTAATGCACTGAGAATAGTAAATTTAATTAACTCTTGACTTATATATGTACTATTCTATTCTATTTTACCTATAAAAGAATTTTCAGTACAGGGTTTAATTTGCACCGGTGGATGATCAAAATAATGTTAAGTTTTAACAGTTTAATGGTCACAAAAGTTTAATCACTCTTATGTACAATGAAAACAAATTATTGGTTAGATATATATTTTTTATAGATTTTGGAAATGAAATTAAAGATTGTCAAATGCATGTTCCATCAAATGATTCATGTCCACGAGCTGTGGTGGTTGGCAAAAGTAGAGCAACATGCGTGGTGTGTGCTACATGCTAACCACCACATATGCAACATCGATCGATTCAGTAGGCAAGTATCCAATCTGTTACGCTCAGATTGTTTCTTACAATTCAAGGCAACCAAAAGTCAAATGCAAAGAACAGCAAGAATCTTGACAAGAAAGAAAGATGCTATTCAGCACAAAATGGTGATGTTTGCCTGGTGGAGAAAGACTAAAAGAAATATCCTAATTAAACCAAGCCTGAGAGGCTGAGATGTAGCTTGAAGCCAGTTTGGAGGCATCTAACAACTCTTGTGCTCCACTACTTGTCCTTCAAAAAACGAAATGATATATTTCATGTGTCGGCGCAACTTTTCTTCAACTTGCATCAATATATGTTAAGTAACAAAAATTCAGAACCGAGTACAATCATGAGGTGGGATGGTTACTTTTACAATAAAGAATCATAATACAATTCCGCATGTTTTAGCACTGCTTGACTGACCAATCTTAAATCTGAATTTTCTTGGCGATGTAATGAAGGTGTGACACATCAGATAAATCTCAAACGATAAAATTATATCGGTGCAGGTACTCACTGACAAAACGAAATTCCGCTCGTGATTAGTTGAAACACCTGAAATTAAACCTAGTGATGGTTAGCTGCACGGTTACCATGAAGTTGGAGCCAAGAAATTGTGCAGTTGTGCTGTGCAACCAACAATCAGACTACGACTGAATGGCCAACACCAATTGGCTTCTACCAAAATAATTAAGCTTAAAGCACCTTTACTAGCCATTTGCAACCGTAAATAATTGAAGCAAAAGAATCGCCAAACAACATTCAGATAGCACGTGCAGTTTTTGTCACAAATAAGTTGGACGCAATGATCTTCCCATGCTTCTTTGGGCCTGTGATGGACTGGCATGTCTTGATGAAATGTTTCGTCCAGTACTCTAGACTTGTATTCAAAGCCAGAAATGGTTCACAGCAGTGCATATTTGTATCTGGTTGGGCATGCATGCCATCATTTGTCTTGGCTAGGGCTTTTAATTTGTGGCTCTAAAGCTTGTACTTGATGGAATTTTTCTTCTAGTTCTTTTGAAGTGATGAACAAGTTTCCATGACAGTATAGTTGCCAGAGAAACCTGATTGGTGTAATGAACCACTGATGTAAACATGGAATATGGAACGCAAGGTATTACCCTTGTTGATCAGTCTAAGAATTAAGAACTGATTTTTCATGGAGAAATAATGCGACAGAATATCTACCACTGGAGGATTAGCAGGAGAAGGTGAGCCAAAAAGAACAATAATAGCTAGCTAGGGAATAGAATTAACCAACATTCGCACTAGAGAGAAATGAATAGTTGTTGAAAAGGTTGGTATGTAAACATGGTCTGATCCGGTCATATGCTTGTTTCAAGTTGCAGCAAAGGGAAGGGTATTTTGGACACACTGATTAATAGTACAATCTGTTGACATTCACTCTGAGGATCCTGTTGAGGACCACCCTTTCTCTTTAATACAATGAAACACTGCTCTCCTGCGTTTAAAAAAAAAACATTCAGTCTAGAGGCAGAAAGCCGTTCATCATCAGTGAGAGCTTAAGCTGAAAGTCTGAACACCTCGCACCACATAAAAACTGATTGCAGTAAAGAGAACAATTGCGCTTTTTTTTTCGTCTAATAAAAATTGCGGCAAAGCTCTTGCCGTCCTTTTAAAAAAATAGGCTAGGTAGGTTGTTTGGATTGCCGGCGTGCACAGAACAGCTCTAACCACTAACCTGTGTGATTTGATGAAACTGATGTAGATGCTGACATGCTGCAGTGTTTTTCTGCCATCCGAACACGGCAGCTGCAAAGGAAAGAGGTTTGGCGTTGATATATAAGTATACCGTTAGATCTCGAGCGACTGAAATAGCCATTAGTCAATGCCTCGTCTTTACCTGAAGGGATTGCACAACAACTATATGCATGCTTGTAATGGTCCAGACACACAGTGGTTAGGATGTTTGGTAGTCACGCTATTTTCAGGCATGCAGTTCAGTATACTAACAGGTCATGAAAAAGGTTAGTAAGAAAAGTTCCTTTGCATGCGCATTGCCTAACCAATAAGCTGATTGGACAAGCTTCTTCAGTTGAGTAGTACTAGGTGTGTCTGTGTTTTTTTGTGTGTGTGTGTGTGACTGTACTAGGTGTGTTTTGCCACCTCAATTACATTACAGCAGTATGCTTATAAGTATAGGGATTAACCTTGATGATTAAGTTCAACGGCTTCTCATGCTGGGCAACTGCTACTAACCTCTAGCTAATTTCCATCCGTGACCTGACCCACACACAGGAACGCCAACTGTCGGACGGCATGAAGCACTATGCAAAATTAATGAACTATTCATGATCTCATACCATCCTCGGTTCCTAACCATGAACATGTAAATCAAATAGAAAAATGCATTACTAATACTAGCAGTATACATTTTTTCTCTTTTTCATTCTTCTCCATTGTCTGAACTTCTCACAATATGTGCATGGAAATATTTGTTGTTGTGCTCAAAAAATTCTATCTGCAGAGTCCTGCAGAGCATGCTACTATAAGGGACTGACATAACTGAACCGATGATACTTGATTTTCACTCAAATCTTCAGTTGACTAACAGTACCAATTCCTCAGTGACCGTTACGTTTTCCAGAAGAGCTGCTGGTGTTGTTTGCATCTGACTGAACCAGACCTTAGCTTGTTGTTGGGAAATGTTTGCATATTCACTCAAATCTTTGGTTGACTACTTAGTCGTAGCTAGCAGGTGCCTTTTGGCTTGTTGTTCATGTGATCTCACCCTGTTCGCTGACGCTGAAATTTGGCTTATGCTGATACTTATGCTGAAATATTGTGAGTGAAAAACACTTCCATGGCTGAAAAGTAGTTTTGAATAAACTTAAACGAACAGGGCGTTCAATACTACTATTGTACTACTTACAATACTCAATACTGCAACCTGTAACTGTCAAATCTGTGAATTCAGGCTATTGCTGTACAACCAACAGTAGCAAGTTCAGAAACTTGTCACGCTGATCCAAATATATCAAATAGAAAAAAATTGCATTATTAATACTAGTAGTATTCTCCTCTTTTCCATTCTTCGTCGTAGACTGCTACAGCGATGATTCTAGCGCAAATAATATTTGCCTATACAAACTGAAAATTACTTAGTAACGCAAGAAATGATGAAAGGGGTGGGTAATCCAATCCCTCCAGTCGAACAAACAAATCAAAGAATTTCCTAAATATCTCTCTTTCTAGCTAAACCATTGCTTCTTTTCTCGTAATTCCTGACTGGCGCTGCTTGCTTACTCATCATCTTCTGCAGAAGCAGAAGCCGCCGGCACATGCGCGGCGCCACCTTCCTCGCTCGGCCCTGCACCGCCCTCAGGGCCGGGCCTGATCTGCTCGAGCTGCCGCAGCACCTCGCGTGCCTCGGGCCTGACCGCCGGCGCCGGGTCCACGCAGTGCAGCGCGAGCTTGAGCGTGTCCATGAGCTCGTCCCCGGCGGTGGTGCCCGCCGCGGCGGCGGCGTCGCGCATCAGCTCCAGGTCGAACACCTCGCTGGTCCACTCCTCCTTGACGATGGACGCCACCCACTGCGGCAGGTCCATGCCGTTGGTGCTGTCGGCAGGGGACTTGCCCGTCAGCAGCTCCAGGATGATGACGCCCAGGCTGTACACGTCCGTCTTGGCGCTGGCTTTCTTCAGCTTCGACAGCTCCGGTGCGCGGTACCCAAGAGCGCCCGCCGCCGCCAGCACGTTCGAGTTCGCCGCCGTCGTCATCAGCCGCGACAGCCCGAAGTCGGAGATCTTGGGGCAGTGCTGCTCGTCCAGGAGCACGTTGCTGGCCGTCAGGTTGCCGTGCACGATGCTCATGTCGTCGTGGAGGTACGCCAGGCCACGCGCCGTGCCCTTGGCGATCGTCATCCGCGTCGCCCAGTCCACCGGCGTGTTCGGAGCACGAGCTGAACAGATCATCATTAGCAGACATCGAAGTTCAGAGTGTCAGTTTCAGTGTCGAAGTGCAGAGTTTCAGTTCGCATAGATACTAAGAAATGACATGAATAAACTGGGAACAAATTTATCAGCAGAATTCATGAACAAATTGCTGATGAGGTACTGTCCAAACAATAACTTGACCTTTACTTGGACAAAGAATAACTAATTTATCAATTGTTAGGCCCAATTGACAGGAAACACAGTGTCAGTTTAACTTCAGAGCTTCAGTTCACAATTGTTACAAAGTTTCAGTTGAAAAGGTTCTGATTTCTGACTACCGAAAAATGTCTAGCTGTGGACAAATTATCAACAAATTTTATGTTGAGGCAATCAATTCTTAACTACAAATCCTAATCCATCCCTTGTTTGGCCCAAATCTGCTCCAAACAGTCCGTGCATGTGCATACTACTAAACGAGTTCTGAACCTCTGACTGACAGGATTTTTGACAGGTCTAAACCCAGTTCTGTCAGTCTTACAGTTCCTGAATCAAGAAGCATTTGCTGAAACTCTGCAAATTATGCAAATCAAAGTTGAACAGGCTAACAGAACTACAGTTGTATCAGTCTTCCAATGACTGAATCTGTAGATGTTGAGACTAAGCATTTGCTGAAACATACTAGAAGACAGCAGTTAACAAGCTATAACTGTTGACATACAAATTTCCTAATGCTTAGCGATATTTCCTCTCAATTAGCAGTGTCCCTAGCATTTCTCATACGAATTGCTTAACAGTAACTGAATGAATTAGCTATGAACTACGATTTGTGAACCATACTGTATATCAGAATTCAGAAATGAATAATAGTACTGAACAATGAACAGAGTAGAAGAGCAGAAATCTGACCGTGCAAGAACGAGTGGAGGCTGCCGTTGGGCATGTAATCGAACACGAGTAGCTTCTCACCCTTGGGCCCCAGGTAGTATGCCCTGAGCGCCAGCAGGTTGGGGTGGCGAATCCGTCCCAGCACCGCCGCCTCAGTCTCGAATTCCTTGTGTCCCTTGGTGATCTTCTCCCGGAGGCGCTTGACGGCCACGAGGCTGCCGTCTTCCAGCGTGGCCTTGTACACCGTGCCATAGGTGCTCTTCCCCATGATCTCCGCGGTGGCGCACAGCAGGTCGTCGGCCGTGAACGCCAGCGGCCCATCAAAGTGCACCAGCTTGCCGCCCACGTCCCCGCCGGACTCGACCTCCGCTGCGCCGGACCCGGGCTTCTCGCCGCGCCCGGCCGCCGCGGCACCAGCGCCAGCACCACCGGCTTCCTTGGCCGCCTGCTTCCCGCTCCGTGTTCCAGCAGCAGTAGTGCTGGAAGACCTCTTGTTCCTGCTCAGGAAACAGAGCAGGAGGCAGCAGAGGAGCAGCAGGACGAGTACGCCGACGACGATCCCGGCGACGATGAGCACGAGCGCTTTCCTGCTGAACTTCCGGCCTCCGCGCCCGCGTGGTTCCTCCGCGGGCGACGCCGGCGCGGGGGACGGGGACGCCGGGCAGGGCGTGGAGGCAGAGTACCCGCAGAGCAGGACGTTCCCCGTGAACGCGGGCTCCCCGAACTTGCGCGCCAGTGAGGACGGCGCCGCGCCGGAGAGGTTGTTGTAGGAGACGTTGAAGGACTGGAGCGTCGCGGTGAGGTTGTCGAGCCCTGGCGGGATCTCGCCGGCGAGAGTGTTACCGGAGAGGTCGAGCGCTTTTAGGTCGGAGAGCGCGGCGAGCTGCGCCGGGATGGTGCCGTTGAGCATGTTGCCGGCGAGGTCGAGCTGTTGCAGCTTGATGAGCTTGGTGAGGGACTCCGGGATGGGCCCGTCGAGGGAGTTGTGCGCCAGGCTGAGGAAGACGAGGTGGTAGCTCCCGGTGATGGCCTCCTTGTCGTTGCTGCTGCTGTCGTCATCCTCGAGGATGAGCTTGGAGGTGGAAGACGGCGACTTGTCGGATCCGGCGAAGGCGTCGGGGATGGGTCCGGAGAGGTTGTTGTAGGAGAGGTCGAGGAACATGAGCGACGCGGAGGCGACGACCTCCACGGGGATGACATCAGAAAACTCGTTCCGGCTGAGGTTGAGGCGGATGAGCCTGGTGGAGTTGGCAACGGCGGCGGGGATTGCGCCGGTCAAGCGGTTGTTGCTGGCGTCGAACGCCTGCAGCGCGACGCAGGCGCCGATGGAGGCGGGGAGGGCGCCCGAGAAGCGGTTGTTGAAGAGGTAGAGGCCGCGGAGGTCCGGGAGGAAGCCGAGCGAGGGCGGGACGGGCCCCGCGATGGCGTTGTCGTGGAGGCTGAGCCGGCGGAGGCGGACGAGCTGCCCGAGGCCGCGCGCGGAGAGCGTGCCCCCGAGCCCGCGCCAGGGGAGCGTGATGGCCACCACGCTGCCCAGGACGCATTTGATGCCTGCCCATGCGCCTGAGCAGGCCGCGAGGCCGCTGTCGTTCCAGGAGCGCAGGAAGCCGTAGGGGTCCGAGAGGTCGTGCTTGATGGCCTGCAGGCCCTGGTAGTCGGCTTGGGAGATGACGACGCCGTCGCCTGTGGTGTGGTGGCGGTGGTGCTGCGCGGCGGTGGCGGCTGGTGGGGAGAGGAGGAGCAGGAGGAGGAGAAGGAGGAGGAGCGTGGGTGCGGCGGCGATGCTGTGGTTGGGGAGGCGCGGTGGAGGCCTCCGCGCCGGCGGCATGGTGGTGGTGGGTGATGATTTGGGATGAAATGGAAGGGGATTGGGGAGTGTTTTACTGGAGGATTATGAAGCAAAGCTAGCTAATGAGCTCGGCGACGAGGAGGGAGGAAGGAGAGCAGTAGAGATTTCTGCCTGCAGTGAATGAAGAAGAGCGGGAGAGCGAGTGTTGTGAAGAAGACGAGAGGAGGGGAGGAATGGGCGCCAACGGCTAGTAGGGAGTGATGAGCCGAAAAGGGAGGCGGCAGCGTGGGTGGGGCCACTGGCCAGTGACCATCACCTGCACGGAGGGAAGCACTCACGAGGATTTGGAGGGCGGTTTAATTATTTCTTTCTTCTTCAACGGCTAGTTCCGAACCAGGCCAAGAATGCTGTTGGACTGGCCCAATCAGCAACTCTCAGGTTTGGGCTGGGTCGGGAGCCCAGCTCACATGGCCGCTTCCCTTCTCGGGAACCGCAACGGTAGCTAGAATAGACCCACCAGGGTGGGTGATGGGCCCAGCCTATCCGGATAACTTCCCCAGAGTCCAACAAACGGAATCGGACTCTCTCTCACTAGTGACGGCCTTCCCTTACCGTATACAAGGGATGAGCATGACATCCCAAGTGGTTACTCTTTCACAAGGGACCTAACTCATCCGAAATGCGTATGTTATGCTTTTATATCCCAACACGTCCGACATGTGGTATATAGCCGGTCGTCAACAACAGATTAGTAATTGGAGCTCCACACATTACTCAAATCACAAGAGGATCATTTCCAACGTCGTCGCTACATTTCTAAGGGAGGCATTATTTCATTAATTCATCCATATATAGACATATGTGCCATTGATTTCACAGGTGATGGCCATCACCCTGCATTCCAGTATTTGGACGGAATAATTCCTTATATGCCACTGATTATATAAACCTTAAATCCCTGATATGCCACTGTCAGTGACTGTTAGGGGCGATAACCATTATGACCCTGTTCGCTTATCTTATAATCCGTCTTTTTCAGCTTGTTTTTTCAACCGGAACGGTGTTTTTCTCTCACAACAAATCAGCGGGAACAGTGTTTCGGCTTGTTTTTTTTTTCAGCGAAGCGAACGGGGCCTATTTGTCATACACACAATCATGGCACATCAGAGACTCTTGAGTTTTTTCGATGACATATAAGAAAATTGCCATATTCACTACCGGAAACAGTAGCTTTGCCGTGTCCCACAGGCACTCGGCAAAGCCCAAAAAACACTCGGCAAAGCATTTGCCGAGTGTAACACTCGGCAAACAGCACACGGCATCTACAGTGCCGGCAAACGACTATTTGCCGAGTGTTTTCTATCGAGCACTCGGCAAAGACTTTGTCGAGAGCTGAAACCGACGCTCGGCGAAAAAAAGTAACGTGACGGAGCGGAAACGGTCACGATAAGTTTGCCGACTGTCAAATATCGGGCACTCGGCAAACATTCCTAATTTGCTGAGTGTTAAATTCTAGGCACTCGGCAAACTTTGCCTCTTTGCCGTGTGTCGCAGTCCAGGCACTCGGCAAACACTTCCTCCTTTGCCGTGTGTTACGTTCCAGGCAGGGAGCGGCGGCCGCGTAACCTATTAAAACATAAACAAGCCATGTCACTTGTCTACTGAAATTAAATCAATCTTGGAAGTACATATCCAGTACATTAGACAAGTACAAACCCCAACCATTCTAACAATAGTCCAAGGAAGGACTTTATCTGGGAGAGTTAATTTCAGCCATAGCAAGACAAGGCTGTAGCTAAAAGAAACTAACAGTCAAGCATGAGGAAGAAAGCTGAGCAACAAAATATTCTGGCTTTGGGTATCAACAGTTTACAAAAAGCTGAGCAAGAAAGTATACATGCTAAAAAGATATCTGTTAACCAAAGCTCAGAATTAGGCAACACTTTCTTGCTCAACTTTTGTTTAGCAAAGGCATCAATTTTAACCCCATTTTTTCTAAACTATTTTGTTTAGCAACAATGAGTACACTACCAAAAATGGGAGAAAATGATCGGCTATCACTACCAAAAATGGGTAAGGGTAACATTACAACATAAGAAATTGGTTTGTCTTATCAACTGCAAATTAGTACACTGAATCTGCAGATTAGAAGTTGCAATGTGAACAAGTTTAATTAATTGGAGTAAATTAGAAAGCCTAATTCTAAATTCTGTCCTAAGGCCTGTTTATACCCTGAAAGAAATTCACATCCTGTAAAAATGTAGTCAAATCCTTTTATCTTAGTTTACTAGCAAATAAATCATCAACAACAGGCTATTGGTTTCAACATTACATAATTTAATAGAAATTTGATATTAGAAATGGAATGGAAATTGTGTGTGTGTGTGGGGGGGAGGAGGAGGAGGAGCTCACTTGGACGGGGAGGGCGCCGGCTGCTGGGGGCTACCCCATGAGGGGGCTGACTAGGCGAGGGGACAACCCGGCCAGCGCCGCTAGGAGGCAGGGGCGCCGGGTGGCCGGGCCGCCGTGCGGCGGTGGGAGGGGCGTCGCGTCGGGGGCCGGGAGGGTCGGTCTTGCGGATGGTAGGGTAGGGCCGCGCATGGCATGGGAAGGCGGGGGCCTAGCGGCGGGGGGTGGCTGCCTGGCCGCGCGGGGTGGGGGTGGTGGTCCAGCGGCCTGGAGGGCGGTCCGGTGATGCGGCATGGTGTGCGTGTGTGTGCGGGTGAGTGTGTGAGTGTGTGTAAGTGTGCGGCCGGCTAGGGTAAAAACGAAAGGGCTTTGCCGAGTGCCCGCGATTTGGCACTTGGCAAAGTAAAGGTATGCCAAGTGCCAGATTGCGGGCACTCGGCATTGTTTTTTTTTTAAAGCTACAACCGGTACTTTGATAAGTAAGTAATGGCTTTGGGTAGGCAACTATATTGTTTGGCGAGTGTCGTGTAGTTAACAGTCGACAAAATAAATTGATATTTTATGCCCACTTATCCTCCTTCATAACGTGTTTTACTAAATTTGTTACGATGTAATTTGAAAATATCATGTCAAATTAACTCAACAATGCATATTTGATTTGTCTACGAATATTATTCCATTATTTCATGCAGTTATAGCTCAAATTCAATTTATATCAATTAAAATTCTATAATTGCAGTTAATAAATTAAAATTATCAAACAGATCCGAAAAATTACCAAAATTTGACGTGAACCAATCTATGTTGTCTATTGCTTATATAAAAAGTTTTGAAGTCAAACCCCAATTCGACCATCACTTTGACTCCAAATCTTACCGGATTCTTCTCAACGCTACGATTCTTCTTCGGAGATGCTTCAGTTTGTAAGCGTCGTACGTGACAAATTGTGCGAAAACTTCTTAATTTTTTACCACAGTCTCCACGTATGATATCATGAGATTTTGACAAATATCGTGATTTTCAAACTTCGTTTCCTTTTTTTAGAATTTAAAAATCATTCGGCCACACGTTCGTGGTCGTGTTTCCTGAATAAAATGTTCGAAATTTCTTTTCATTTCTCGGGTAAGGCCTCAAAATGGACTCAATAACATGAATATCATTTTTTCACTCATTTTATTGCATTATTTAAATCACTTGCAGTTCAAATTTGACTTATACCAAAAAGTTACTCTAAATGCAATAAATTAATTAAATATACCAAATTTTAACATGTAGTACCACATGTTGTACGTGGAGAGTAGAAAAAGTTTGGAGGGCAGGAGAGGAAAAAAGTTTTGGCTTTGCCGAGTGCCTAGAAAAAACACTCGGCAAACTTATAATTTTGCCGAGTGCTGGGGAAAAACACTCGGCAAAGTAGCACTTTTGCTTACGGCCGACACGCCGTCAGACGGCCGTCGCACGTGCCGGTCACGTGATAGTATTTTGCCTGAGTGTCAATTCATTGCCGAGTGTCGTCTTGTTTGCCGAGTGTCTGATATACTACACTCGGCAAATCGGGGTTTTTACCGAGTGCAATATGTATGACAAGTGTCTTCTTCACTACACTCGACAAATCAGCTCTTTGCCGAGTGCCCGATTGAATGCACTCGGTAAACCAAAAAACACTCGGCATATTTACTGTTTCTGTTGTATACCCCCATAGAGTTTCTTTCGTGTATGGATGTGCTCAGATGGAACCTGGCTGGTCGAATATGACATGGGTACGTTTGCTGGTGTCAAATTATGCAAATCTTATGCGTAGCCTCAAGTAATAAATCCATTTTACACATCAAGCATCGGAGTAGTAGCAAGGAAGCCTTTTTACGTTATCTAATCCAAGTATATAAAATGAGGAGCTGAGTGCCGGTGTTTGCAGCAAGGGTTGAGAGGAGGGCCGCCAACCGTGTGGACAGGCGATCTGGCGGACGCGCCCCTCGCTCCCGTGCACGCACGCCCAGCTAGGCTAGGCGGCGGCCGGGTGGCCGGGGCCGCGGCCGGAGGCCCACGACGCCTGTCCTAGGCGGCGATGGCTCCCCCTCACGACATCCCGCCCTCCAAACTCCGCCCTACCGGCTAGTAGCCCTACATGGCTGCGGCCAGTGCCCAGCAGTCCGCGTGCCATGCGCCACACGCGGCAGACCGGTAGCCAGGCAACGCTCAGCAAGGCGCTAGGCCGGCCGCATCACCCGTTTCTGACCCCTGGCGGAGGCCCGGCGCAGATCTACTAGGCCTCGGCGCGGCACCCCGTTGCCCCGGCCGTAGCGGCACCCCAGGACCAGCGCTGGCAGCTCGCTTGGCGCCGCCCGTAGCCAGCCGTGGAAGCGGCTGCCACAAGGGCCACCGGGCGGGGCGGATCCAGCAGCCACACGAGGTGGGCGGATCAGATACAGCCGACTCGGCCCCCGCACATGCACGCCGGCTAGGCCAGGTGGCGGCCGGGTGGACTAAGCTGCGGCCGAAGCCGCGTGCTCCGTGCGTGTCTGGGTTCGCGCCCGTGCGTGCTGATCGGCCGATGGCCTAAGTGTCAACGGCCAGTCCTCGACAATGAGAAGGCAGATCCAGAGGAGGTGGTCCCGTAGGCAGAGTTGTCTTATGGGCGGCGGCGGCCTTGGAGTCTGGTGAGCGGAAGTGGATCCTGTCAGCTTGCGTCTGATGGGCTAGTTCTGACCGGAAGACAACGGATGAAGGTGGGCTAACCGGTGACACATGGCGCCAGCTCACTTGAAGCGGATGAAGATGGCACCAGCAGAGATTCGCAGCGATGGCGCACTAGGGGCTGCGACGACTTGACGACTTCACTAACCGAATCTAGCCGTTCCAGGAGAGGATGTCGGAAAGCAGGAATGTGCTGAGATCGTAGTTTAATTTGTTTGTTTTTTTTTCGTTATGTGTTGTCCTCTTCGTTGAGGTGTAAGTATAAGTGCTCTTATATCCTTTTGGCCGTGTATATTCTTCGTGGATATAGAGGCCGGATTAATGAAAATCCATTATTTAAAAAAAGTATAAAATGTTAATCTATTCCACCAAGTATTGTGCCGCCTAAATTTGACGGCCCAAATAAAGGTCTCTCTCTACCTACTTATAATACTACTACTACAAACTGGATTTGCTTTTGCTCAAGAAAAAGGAAAAAAAACTGGATTTGCATGCGAAAAGTTTGGACTTTGGACTACTATTAACTCGATTGATGTTGTACGCGCGTATGACACGCAACTTTCCTTTGGAAATATGCTCGATCAGAACTTGCAAGCGTAGTCCAACACGGTGTCCTGCACCCCATATGTAAAGCAAGACGAATCATCAGGACAACCCATATATAGGACGGACTTTGGACCCAGCATGACAGGACTTATATCTTTGTTTTGCCGCGTCGGACTCGATGTCCTGCGCCGTTAGCATTGTCATTGTGCCAACGTGGACGCACAAGCTCCTCCTATCCCTCCTCTTATATACACTGTACTTATATCTCAAGACTAGGAAAGGCATAATATCTCTTCAGACAAGACCCAACTCCCAAGAGCACTAGAGCAGGATTCCACGATGGCGGAACACGTAGACACCACAAACTGTGATCGCCCATGCCGTCTTCGTGTTTGCCCTTGGTCGTCTTCCACCACCATCCTCACGGTCACGGCCAGGAGGAGGACGCTAACGATGAGGAGATGCTAATGTTCAGCGTATCCAAGCGAAGCCTGCACGAGAACGTGGAGCATGGCCTTCTAGCTGCAGGCAACAGCATGTGCTGGACCACTCCACAGGGTTGGATACTCCTCCTCGCCCAGGATCATGGCACGATGCCTTCTTCGGCTCGTCTATGGAACCCTTGCCTTGGCGACAAACTCCCCTTACCAGATATCGGAGAGGAGCACCAGATGCCATACCACTGCAGGTGCCTCCTCTCCCACAAGGACCCAACTCACCCAGGATGTGTCATCGTGCTCTTCAATGACACCGCGCCTGATCTCTGGTACTGCCACACCGCCGGTGGCGGCGACAACAGCAGCAGTTTTTAGGACCCTGTTTTTAGGACGGCGCTCCTCGCCGGCGCTCTTCGCCACGGCGGCCCGGGGCGCCGGCGGCGGCGACGACCGCGTCTTCGCGCTGACGCTGTGCCGGTGGTGGCGACAACAGCAGCAGTCGCAGCTGGAGACATTACTCGTACAACATCGGTAGCGATCCTTCTTCTATACCCAAGCCACCAAAGGGGAAAAAGGCACGCCTCCATTGCCGTCGTCGTCCTATCAAGGATATCATCCACTCCATGGTTTCCATCCAAGAGAAAATCTACTTCACAAACTCGCCAGGCATGTGCGTCATAGATTTCTCATCCGCACTACTTCCACGACAAATAATCACAACAATCGGCCTACGTTCCATAATTTCAATGTCCCTTCGTTCCATCTCCCCAAAGGATTGTCCTCAGGCGCGACGTGGTTGGTTGAGTCACCGGATCAACTCTTTTTAGTCGCCACTGGCTTCATTGACTTTGATCCAAACAACATTGGTACCATAGAGTACAGGATGGATATCTCTTCATCAACAGAAGCTTGTTGGTGCACAGTTCATGACATTGGAGATGCTGTGTTTTCTCTTGGAGGATACAAACACGGCTTCTTGCTGGTCGAGTGCCCTGGGACTAAAAAAGGAAACCAGGTTTTGTTTATGAAGAGTTTCATGGATGATGATGCTGACTTGTGCATTTTTTACTTGGAAACTGGAAGGACCGTGACGCCTAAGAGGGAGGGGGTGAATTAGGCAACTTAAAACTCTAACTATGTGTACGACACTTCCTCAAGCTCTAACTCAACCAATTTGGCCGGCCCTGGGGGTATTTATAGGCCCCCAACCAAATAGAGCCGTTGGGTCACTTGGTGGGCAACTCTGCCACCGTTCGGACCACAGGCTCGGGTGGCCTGCACCAATGTGCTGGTCCGAACCCCTCCAACGGTCACACGACATCGACAGTTGGAATCGGCCGTTCTGGCGTGCTCGAGAGGCTGACCGGTGGGGCCAAGTCACCGGACCGGACCTCCAATGGTCCGGATCCTCGGTTCGACCGAGTTCGGACGGTTCAAGCGCTGTTGAGCTCCGGACTGAGGTGGCCGATGGTCTGGACCGCCCATCGCTCATGGGTCCGGATCACCCTGGAATAGGGTTTGGCAACTGGACCGGGAGCCGATGGTCCGGACTTCGCCACCACGTGGTCCGGCACTTGACTTACTCCGTCTGCTCCGTCTCTTCGCGATCCTTTGTCCGGCTTGGTTCCATCCTTCGTGCTTGGACTTTGCTTGATTTTGTGGGTCTTCCATTGTGCTTCTAATGCCTCGCTTGAAGTGTTGATCATCCGGATCACACCGTCGCCTTCGCCCAAGTCACGTTTGCACCCTATTGGACTCAAAATAAACACTCGCAAGTTCATTAATCCAATTCGGTCATATTGATCATCAAACACTAAAATCTCTCCCTTTTTGGTGATTGATGACAACACGACCAAGACAAGCAAATAATAACAAATACCGAATTGAAAACCTATCTACTTGCTAGGATGCAATGCAAAGGCAAGTGTTTATGATTCTAAAAGATATCAAATGAGAGATGCTTTTACAATTTATCTTGCCCTAGCCAATGTCCCCATGTGGTATTATGGACTTATGCTCCCCCTAACTCCATAATCCACATTTCTCCCTATTTTGGACCATTCCCAAATGAGGTTCTCCCCCATTGATCTTCCCATAACCAAAGCCACTTGACCTGGTACCATTTGTAAAATCACTCAAAAAATTTGTGGATTTGGTTTATTATGGGGTGGGATTGCTTTTGGTCCTACAACTTCTCCCCCTTTGGAATCAAACGCCGAAAAGAAAGACATTAGTAGCACAAGAGAGTGTCAAATTTTGTGATCTTTTGTATGTGGAATGGAATTGACCACAAAACTTGACTCTCACATTACATAGACTAAGCTCCCCCTAAGTGTATGCATACATATGGTGTAAAGTAAAGCATATGCATAACCGGCAAAATAATGCACAAGGGAGTTTAATCTATATAATGCATGGAGAAAGCATAAAGATACCAAATTGAAAACTATCATAATGATATCGGTTTAGAAATACCACATGTAGAAACCAATTTGATTGATACCAAATGAAAGCATTTAAAAACATGATGCTTATATTCGAGGACTCCATTTTCCTTGCAATGAGACTACTACACACATGATAAGCTTGAAAAAGGTGTTAGTCTCAAAGCATTCAACTTGTAGAATAGCTCCCCATAAAAGTGTGCATACAAGCATAGACTACTTGTAGGAGACATGCACAAGGACTTTTGAGGTCAAAATACCAAAAGATAATGTCACATGCAAAGTGAACATCACTCAAAGTTGGTATTTTAGGGAAGTTATCTACACTTTGGACTTTGGCACATATAAGATAAACCAATTGAAGAAAGAGCTATGTGCCGTGCTCCTAAGCAATTTAAACCATGTAGGTTTGCTCCAAGGGTAAGAGTGATACCGAGCAACCCTACCATATGATTTCCTAGTGTATGCATTACATGAATTTAACATGTAGATGCAAACCTAGGCATGAAAGGAACTAGATGCTAATTGAACTTTGCAAGAATTTAAATCTAGTTACCTAACATGGGAAGGGGAATTTGGATCCATGGTATTCACTAACCCACTTGGCAATGACATGATCCAATGTGATGCACCCCATGAAAATCACCCAACCTTTGTCAAGTCTCCAAATTCCCCAAAGTCCAAACGGACTCCTCACTTCCCTTTCGGGATCCAAACCTTTTTGGTGCTCTTCATATTTGAAACGATCTCCTTTGGCACCCAAAAGCGTTTGACCCCATTCTTGACTTGCTTGTTCACCTTGATGGCCACCACATTGTCATTTTTCTTCTTCTTTAACAAGTATGGTGTGGAGGCCTTCTTGTCCACCTTGTTGGTGTAGGTGTTGGAGAGCTTGCTTGTTTACTTTTTCTTGTTCTTTTTCTTCTTTGCTCCTCCCCCATTCTTTACCTTGCACTCATAGGACTTGTGGCCTTCCTTGTGGCACACGTTGCAAACCACGGTTTCTCCCTCATCAAGCTTCTTCACTCCCTTAATGGTGTTATCTTGATGAGGTTGGGATTGCTCTGTCATGCCTTCCACTTGAGTCAAGTCTTTGGTGAGGCGAGCTACTTCTTGCTTAAGTTGCTCATTCTCCATTGCAACCTCTTATGTGCATGTTTCTACAAACACATTCTCAAAACGAACTTGGTTGCAAAGGGGTGAGTCCAATAAATCAATGCAAGAAGTAGAGGCATCCTTTTTAGGCATGTCAAAGATTGAGCTTTTATTTTTAGGTGCCTCGGTGGGGGTTGTACCGACGGCTTCAAGATTAGCAACTTTAGTTGTTAGCTCATCACAATGTTTGCACATGGTTTCCATTTTGGTAAGCAAACATTTATAAGCATCTTGTGTGCTAACTAACTTTTCTTTTAATTTTTCATATTTCTTTACTAGTTTCTCATCATTGATTGTGCATTCATTTGTGCTAGCACTAGCCATTAATTGCTCAATTTTAGTGGATAGCTCAACATTAAGATTAACAAAAGTTTCATATTGTTCAAGCAAAACTTTATAAGCCTGTTGTGAGCTATCTACCTTTGCTTTAATTCATTTATTTTCTTTTGTTGGCTAGTGCAAACCTTAGCATATTTAAGATTATCTTGCACAAGTTGATCATAAGAAGGTAGCTCATCATCACTATCACTATCACTTGAGCTAGAACTTTAATTACCTCGTGCCATAAGGCACACACGTGAAGTGCTTGATGATGATTGCTTGCGGCCGAGCCTCTTGTGTTGGGCTTCATCTTCACTTGATGAATCATCCCAAGTCTTGATTGAAGTGAGGGCTTGGTGCTTTGCTTTTCTTGCCTTCGTCTTGTCCTTGGGTGTGGGCTTGTTAGTTGGACAATCTTCCATAAAGTGCCCTCTCTTGTCATATCCATATCATCCTTTCTTTCTTTGCTCTCTTCTTTGATTGGTGAAGATGCAATCTTCAATTTGGATGGGCACACCCTTAACATTGAGCTTGCGGATCAACTTCTCCACTCCTTGTATAAGCTTGATTGTTTCTTCATCATCAATGGAGGAGTTGGAGGAGGTGGAGGCTTGATCATCATCACTTGATTCTTCTTCTTTATCATCATCATCCTCATCTTCTTCATCTTCACTTGAGGAGCTTGAGCTTGACTCAACTTTCTTGCCCTTCATCTTCTCTCGCTCATCACATGTGAGAGCGGTGGCTTTGCTTGATGAAGTGGCTTCTTATTGACCCATCTTGCGTGACATCTCATATGCCACAAGCTTGCCAATGAGGATGACCGGGGTCATGTTGCTCAAGTCCTCCAAGTTGTGAAGGATGGTGATGATGCTTGCATATTTTGAATGTGGTAGCACCGAGATGATCTTCCTCACAATATCCGCATCACCTAGATTTGTCAACCCTATGGAATTGAGCTCATTGACAATTAGATTTAAACGAGAATACATGTCCTTTACAAGCTCATTTTCATTCATTATAAAGGAATCATAGGTTGTCTTAGCTAGGCAATGTTTTTGCTCACGGACATTACTTGTGCCGTCATGGAACTCATGTAATTTTAACCAAATTTCATGTGCCGTTTGTAAAGTGAATACTTGGTTAAAGACATCCAAGCTAAAAGATTCATACAAGCAATTTTTAGCTCTAGCATTGAAATGAATCTCTTTTTCATCACTCGTGGTTGGTTTTTCGGGATTCTTAAGGGGTTTTATCCCATCGCGAGTGACTCTCCACACACCTAGATCAACCGCTTCTAGGTAGCAAGCCATTCTAGCACTATACTAGGAAAAGTTAGTGCTGTCAAAGTGCGGAGGCCTCGAGGTATCCATCCTTCCCACTCTCAAAAACATCGGCTCAACGGCGGTGAAGCCAAAGGTCCAAAGATGAGCCAATCGGCTCTGATACCAATTG